CCTCCATAGAGGGAATAAATCAATTTCAATTTTACCTCATTATTTGCAGTAGGCCCGAGTTGCCTCTGGAGGTTTGTGGTGACCACGTAGGCTCAAATGACCTGGTTAACAGCTTGAAATAACTTTTAGGTCTTACTTCAAAAGTTTAAGACACATAGTCTTGCTTTAAGGCACTAAAATTGTGTCCCTGTAAAACAAATGGGAAACTTTTAAATCATTTTTCTTACAATACACTGTTGTGCAAGACTAACAAGGCATGGTTGTTGTTTATTGTTATCATAGGTTAAATTCTGGTTAGTTTTGCTTTTGAACTTATTTTATGTTGTTTCTAGTAGGTCTTACACTTTTTTACAGTTAATCCTTATCTACTCAGTGCTCAGGCATCATTCTCTTCCTGTTCTGAAACCAGAAAAGGAACCAAATTGTTAATAATTGATCTTTATTCACCTGCATTTCTTTCCCTTTTCAAGCCTCCTTATGCTTCTCCACAAATAACAGACGCATGTACTCCAGATAGGTTAGCAGATGCTCTTAACTGACACCAGACATGTAACTCTCACGTCGAACCTTTTTTTTTCAGTTTTTGTGGTCTCCTCTGCTTATACTATCATTGTTTCTCATTCCTTATAGGGTACCTTGACAGGGTGGCTGCAGATGAGAGGAAGTTGAAGGAAGTCACCTACAATCGGTCAATCTGGGAACTGTTAGCTAGTTTGACTAAACCTCATGGGGCAAACTCTCAGTGTGAATTAAGCTTAAAATGCTAACTTGCTGATATATGATAAGAGGTGGTTTTGACATTGGTCTCCTAGTGGACTGTTTAATTGAAAGCAATCCAGTCCTGCTTACACAAGACTGGTCAGTGGTATTCAAACTACGAGCAGCTTATACCGAAAATCTTTTCCCCTGCTGACAGAGTCTGCATATTCATATGCAGATATCTGTTTATAAAGACTAACGATGGACTCTGACGACTCCTATGTTCTGCTCTCTGAAGAGCAACTCATCTACATCATCACCATTCCCCTGTCGACCTCCATCATCCTGGCCAACCTCGTCATCATCTTGGGCATCTCCTGGAACCGCCAACTCCACAACACGCCCAACTACTTCTTCCTCAGCCTGTTAGTAGCCGACTTGTGTACGGGCGTGGCTCTGCCGTTCATACCGCTGATGGGTCTAAACAGGCATTTAAGTTTTAGCTCCTGTCTGGTGGCTCACGTGTTCCCAAATTTCCTCTTCTTGGCGTTCCTCTTCAACCTGGTAATGGTTCACTATGAGCGCTACATATGCATTATTGACCCCTTGCATTACAGTAACCTGTGGATGCATCGCAGTTTTCCCTTAACGCTGCTTGTGGTGTGGACTCCGGCACTTTTGTATGCATCTCTACCTGCCTTTGGCTGGAATAACTGGACAGGGTCCGATTTTAACAGTTGCTGCGAAAGTACCCAAAATTTAACGGCATTTTCAAACTGCTTAGCAAATACAACCAGCTGTTGCTCGTACAGGAGGGTGTTCCCCAATGCATTTATCTTCCTGGAGGTGTATGGACTTGTTTTACCTGCTATTCTGGCCATCGCCGCCATGACCGGCCATGTTTTGTGGATCACCCGAGGCCAGCTGAAGGACATATGCCGCCTCCATCGTTCGGTGGAGCGAGGAAGTCAGGCCTCTGACCAGGAGCAAAAGCTGAACCTGCGGTACACGCGCTGCGTGGTAGCAGTGTCGCTGACTTTTCTCGCCTGCTGGGTTCCCTACCTCATTTACATGCATGTCTCCATAGCACTGGTGGTCAGCGACCCCAAGCGGAGTTCTACCACTCACATTGTGCTGTCCTGCACTGGTATTGGAAGCATGGCTGTAGTGCCGATTGTGCTGGGCTTGGCCAACAGGCAATACACAGAACCTGCGTTAAAACTTCTCCAGAAACTCAGAGACAGGTGGAGGCCAAGGACACAGGCATCAGAGGAAGCCACAGTCTGAAATGATACTGGTTTATCTAAATATTTATGAATATATTCTACAGAAAGCTGAAAGAGAAATAAGAAATATGGCTCTACAGCAGAAAACCCCCCCACATCTACTAGAGGGCGATCGTGGCTCAAGAGTTGGGAGTTTGCCTTGCAATTGGAAGGTTGCCGGTTCGAGCTCCGGCTTGGACAGTCCTCAGGCAAGACACTTCACCCGTTGCCTACTGGTGGTGGTCAGAGGGCCCGGTGGCGCCAGTGTCCGGCAGCCTCGCCTCTGTCAGTGCG